TCATTGGAACACGCGGTGGGTGTGTGCATTGCTAATGCTAGTTAAGCTAATGATGCATGTCCATGCTACCTCACGCGGGGATAGCAATGCCATTGAAGACCAGTTTAGACCAGACAAAGAGGAAGGTAAGCTATGTTAGCCTAGCGCATGTTAGTACCTAGCGCCACTTGTTTTGATGTACGTTTTTGTTGATAACCTCGCGAGTTTGTATCTTTCAGTGTTGAGGTGGGCACCGTTAGATTCTGTGTCTTTACGGTCATAAACAATGTGTTGGATGTGGAGCTAGGATAAGTAATAAGGGAGCTAGGAGTGATTTTCTGTGCAGTAATAGGTTAGCATTTTTCGCTCGGGGCTAATTCAGAGGCTCACTGTTAGCATTGTGTGTTTTTTTTGAAAAAATAAATGAAAAAGATCAGTTAAATGAGTTTTTTCCCTTTCTATGGATACAAAATATTCATAGTTTATTAAATATTAAGGTTCCTTAGACGTTGTTTCCTGCAAATGACGCGATTGCGGGTCCGTGGGGCATAAGAGGATAACAGAGTATGTTTTATTTTTTTTCACAACAGTTGTATTTGGATGGAATGAATACCTATAGTGATAATTCAAAGTAATACAAATTATTTTTACAGTGAAAACGTTCAAATGGAACTGATGGTTCACAAATTACCCAGAGGTGAGTCCGCCTGGACTTTATTTTTCTAAACCTCTCTAAAAAGGTCAAATTTCACTTGTTTTGCATCAATCTTGATACAGGGTACTTATTATGTTATAGTTTGGATTCCTAAAGCTTTTAGTCTACTAACCCATCATTCAAGGGTGGTTTTCACTATAAGTAATGTTTTTTTTTTAGGCGGACATTAGAATTGACATGTTTTTACTATGTTCCATCTGAATTTACTTTAAAATAAAAACATCTATATAGTACGGTGGCCCTGAAGTGCAAGACACCACAGCATTTCACAAAACGCCACAGCATTTCAGAAAACACAACAGCATTTCACAAAAACGCCACAGCATTTCAGAAAACACAACAGCATTTCACAAAACGCTGCAGCATTTCACAAAACACCGCAGCATTTCAGAAAACGCAACAGCATTTCACAAAACGCCACAGCATTTCACAAAACGCCGCAGCATTTCACAAAACACCGCAGCATTTCACAAAACACCGCAGCATTTCAGAAAACACCACAGCATTTCACATTGGACGGAAAGGGTATTCCTTAGGGAGAATACTTATTGTTTGTGATTGGACAGAGCCAGCCAGAGAAGCACTGCTGTGATTGGTTGTTTTTGCTGCCAATCAAGAAATGACTTTGTGATTGGCCCAACACATCAGCCGTTAGCTGTTAGCACACACTCAGAGCTCACAGCTCCTCATATCTGTTCAGAAACTGGACAAAAGTTAAAGATATGCAAAACACAGACTGTCTATGTCATGGCGAATACAGTCGCTGCTTTATTTATGTCTGTATGATGTTGTTGTGAGTGTGGACGGAGCAGCTACAGGTTAGTTTAGCCTGATCGATCCGATTCCGATAGGATTTACATGGAGATACGCCCCGCCCCCTCTCCAGCGTCTTTTTTGAATGACAGGAGTGACAGAATTAATGCTTTATTAATTCATGGTTTTTAAACACTGCTAGAGTATATCACATTTTATATTATATTGATAATTTGGACTCTTCAATTTCTGATTTGGTAAATATAATTATTATTTTGGGTAAATACCGTTTACATTGTAGTAAATGGAGAGGAGGCAAGCCCTCCTTTCCCTGTTTCATAAATTAGTTCATGTCCTTTTTTCTGTCCCTTAGAAAAATACAATCTTGTAACCTGTCTATAAATATTTACAATGACATTTCCAAATGGTTATTAAGTAAGCTTAATGTCTTTGTGACTTTATGCTTTTTCTTTCCCCCTGGTTCTTATTTATGTTTTTGGTCTTATTGTGAATTAATAGGCGCTTTCACACGGGAGTACTTTTCCCGTACTTTTCTCAGAAATAGTTCCTGGGATGTTGCGTTCACACCAAAAATATCTTTTTTTTCGGGAACCTTTTCTCCCCTTTTCAGTCCCTGCTAGAGAGGTGGTACTTTCCTGTGGAGAAAAAGGTTCCCATTTCTGATTGGCTGGGCGAATTGCAAACCACGCCCGTAAAACTGGGACAAATGTTGTGAAGCCGCCATTGTATTTCCTGGCATTAGCATTATTAGCATTAGCATTAGCCCCGCGCACAGACGGAGAGAGACTAACTTATGGCAACAACAAAAAAAACATGGGAGCGGTGGAGTGATGAGGAGGGTTCGGCGTTCTGGCGATTTACTCAGAAGGTATGGGCATAGATATGTCTCATAATTATTTGTGTGAACATAAAAATAATGTGTGTGTAAATATGTGATATGTAAATGTAAACACCATCCACAAATGCATTTAAAAGATTTGCAAACTCACAAATAAATGTGCAAGTGTAAAACGGATCTGCAAATACGCTAAATATTTTCACAAATAAAAAAGAGATCTGTGAATATCTCTTTAAAATGTACAACTTTCGATCAGGCATTTGTGAATCCATTTTGTATTTGTCGACCAAAAATGCGCTTGCGGATCTCAAATCTCTGCTCGTGGATCTCACATTTCTGCTTGTGGATCGTCTTTTTACACACACGGAATTTTGAGACATATTTTCCGCCGGTCTCTTCTCAAATCTACTCGTGTCACGTGATGGCCTGCTGATGACGACATTTCCGCATGATTTCAAAGTAAGAGCATGATGGTTTGTTTAATGCTCTGTTTATTATTATAATGAACAGCAAGCAGCACGTTCGATGCATTCTTTATCTTCATCATCATCATCATCATCATGTTATAGTGATACAGTTAGTTTATTGGTTCAATACAGCATATATCGAGTACTTTCGTTGATGTTGAAGTACAGGCTATACGCCACTTTCGGATCTCGGGGGCAGCAGCTGGCAGCGAAGCAGCCCAGATAAAACTCTTTCTTCATTGTTTGTTGTGTATTCAGTCAAGCAGGTCAAAGTTACAATGTAAATTTGTAAGTACAATGTAAAGTCCTGTGCTCTGCAGGTGCCGGTAAAGAGCAATACAATGACAAAACCTTTCCAAACAAAACAACTAGTTGGTAAGTAGGCAGGCAGGTATAGGCAGGTATAGGCAGGCAGGCAGGCAGGCAGGCCTAGACAGGAATATATGAATATACAGTAGAAAGGACACGATGAATATTATAACATTTAATGTAGCCTTACTATGAAGGCTAACCTAAATACGGTGCTTTTCTACAGATTACTTTATTACTGCACTGGTAAAGTAAAATTAGGCCGATTAATAAAATGTGAAGTGCTTTGTAACTTCGACCCGCTTGACTGAATACACAAACAATGAAGAAATAATTTTATCTGGGCTGCTTTGCTGCCAGCTGCTCCCCCGGGATCCGAAAGGGGGGTATAGCCTGTACTTCAACATCAACGAAAGTGCTCGATATATGCTATATTGAACCAATAAACTAACACAAACTAACTGTATCACTATAACATGATGATGATGATAAAGATAAAGAATGTATCTAACGTTCCGCTGTTCATTATAATAAAAAAAACAGAGCATTAAACAAACCATCATGCTCTTACTTTTGAAATCATGCGGAAATGTCATCATCAGCGGGCACGTGGTTTCCGAAAATAACATATAAAAGTGACACGAGTAGATTTTAGCCGAGACCGGCGGAAAATATGTCTCAAAATTCCGTGTGTGTAAAAAGACGATCCACAAGTAGAAATGTGAGATCCACGAGCAGAGATTTGAGATCCGCAAGCGCATTTTTGGTCGACAAATACAAAATGGATTCACAAATGCCTGATCGAAAGTTGTAAATGTTAAAGAGATATTCACAGATCTTTTTTTTATTTGTGAAAATATTTAGCGTTTTTGCAGATCCGTTTTACATTTGCAAATTTATTTGTGAGTTTGCAAATCTTTTAAATGCATTTGTGGATGGTGTTTTACATTTACAAATCACATATTTACACACAAATAATTTTTATGTTCAAACAAATAATTATGAGACATATCTATGCCCATAGAAGGCTTCAGTAGAAGCTGCTGGGACTCCGGGGACTTCCGGCCGGGGACTTCGGGTGGAAGTATATGCCGTGAAGTTGTTTGCGGCCTGCCAGTAAACCCAAAGCAGAAGTAGAAGAAGTGACGTCAGCGGCTTCATTTGCGTAATCCTTCCTCAGGGACTTAGTCCGGTGTGAACGCGATTTACTAGAACTAAAAAAAACAGGAACTATTCCTGGGAAAAGTTCCGGGAACTATTCCTGGGAAAAGTACTTGGAGTGAAAGCGCCTAATGTCTTGCACTTATATTGATGAGTTGATGATATCCTCACCGAGATTTTGTATGATAAAAATATATTCAATTAAAAAAATCTATATAATAAAAAAACACTACTAGAGCCCATACTGTGTTCCCTTCAGTGTTTACTTCCTGTCCGTCTTCTTCATCTGTTCTCTTTAGTGTTTACTTCCCGTCTATCTTCTTCTGTTGATTTCTCTGATGTCTTTTAAAATCTTTCCTTCTCATGCACTCTTTTTATTTTCTTTACTAGAGGCAGTTCAGCCATCATGAATCCAAAGTTTTGTGCTGTGCACAAATATAAACATGATGCATGGAGAAAAAAGATTGTTGTGCACATCTGGCGTTAAATTGACTGGACTTCTTTCTGTGGATTGATATGACTGCACATAGTCCCCTGATCCTCTTGTAGCTACGGTCTATTCTCATTAGCAGCGGTCTCTTAGCAAAACATTAACAACCTCTGGTTGACCAATGAAAATTGAGAATTAAACTAAGCTGTGTGTTAATACAAGTTTATACTTACTAATATAGAAATCAATTTGTAGTGGAAAGACTGTACGCAATTTGTAGAAGATATAAAACTAATATCTATGTCGATTGTTTAAGAACAATTACCGTTTATTCAGTCTGCTGTAGACCATTTCACTTTTATTTTTAATCAAAGTGTTGATAGACATTAGTGCATCAAGAGTTTCAAGCATAAAATGACTCTTAAAGAACAATTTGCTTCAACATTGTGTAAATATGTTCAATCAAAATGAAAGAACAAAAACAGCTGATTTAAAAGAAAAATAATTTACAAAAATGAAGTTTTTTTGGGTGTTTATCTTCTCTGGTGGAGATATTTCAAATGCTTCCAACTGTGCTTCTGTTTTCAGTCCAGCCCTCCACTGGGCAGCTTCGCTGGAAAAGCACAGACAAAAGGTATTAATTCAATGATGTAAAACTGATCAAATGTAGTTAAAATAATGAGCCGTCTGAGAATAGCACTTACATAATAATGATCATTTCCCGAACAACCTAGAAATAATCCAATAACAACAGAACAGCAGTGAATATTTCAGAACGTCATTTCTTTCACACAAACTGCTCTAATTGAATTCTCATTCACTAAAGTTTGCATGTCTACCCTAGTGTTAAAAAAGTCCAAGTAAATGTGTACAAATCTGTATTTTTACTAGTTATTAAGGTCGGGCTACAGCTACATACACATTATTTGCATACCTTAAGACCCAAAAGATTGAGATCATTTAAAGATATTTTTTTACGAACTCTGTTTCCTGCTTTCTGGTGAATTTCATTTAACACAAATATCAAAATAAGTGAAGTGTAACAGTATTGACATTACAATACATATTCTTAAGTTTGAATTCTTGTTCTGTGTGAAAATGACTCCATATACTTACAGTAGGTGTAGGAAATTCTTCCATTAATGCATTGAACAAGGCGGAAGGAATCAGGCCATCTACACGGAATATACTTATTCAGTCCTTCCTTTACGTATACTAGGCCTTGAGATATTTTAAGATTGGCCATCCTCGTTTGAGCAGGATCTATGACACAGAAAGCCGCTGCACAGAAAGAAAAACGTATGTATAATTACTCGGGTAATATATTTGGGTGATATCTTTTTAGGAACAAAAACTTTGTTATGACTTGTTTATACCTTTGCAGGATGGTGGTTCTGTCCACTTGCCATTGCTTTGACACGTCACAATGTCTGGACCCTCTAGTGTGTAAAAGCCATTACATTCGTATTTCAAAGATGTTCTGCTCACTTCCACAACATCTCCGTTTAGAAGACTTGGGTGTTTTCCACAGTTGGCGTCTAAAATCAAAAAGAGGCTATTAAATATTTCCATTTAACTTTAAAAACAGGCCGGTCAAAGTTCACGTGTTAACGCTTGAGATTTATCTGGAAACCTAAACCTTTTTAAAATATCTACGCAGACTATTCACATACCAATTGATAACGTCCTCCTATAATTACAGCTCATATGTTTACCATGAATTGTATGGCAGTAAAAAGGCAAAGAAAGCAGAGGAACTGGCACAAGCTCCATGTATTTCACCGACTGGAGACCACTGGACATCAGGAAGCAGTAACAGCACCATTTAATAAAAGAAGGAAAGGCATTTTGCTTTGTAATGTAGGAGCCCGTTTCTTGAAGTTTCTCAGGAGTGGAAGACACAGTTTTTACTGTAGAAATAGTTACTGCATTATGATAGCGGCAGAAAACAGGAGCATCTGTGTAGCGCACATTATACAGAGCGTGATCACAAAGGCTTGACAGCGTCTTTTGATACATAGGCCTTCAGATACGTTTATGGAGAGATCAGATCAATGCATTTACCCACTCATATTTAATACTGATCAATAAACTACTGCCAATAGATGTAATGTGTCCTCCCACTGTGTCTCCACCATGTCCAGTATCGGGTCTTCTGTCTGAGTGGACATTTCATAGGCCTCCATATGGAGTGGTTAGATAATTGGATTAACTAGATGTAATGTGTCCTCCACCTTTTCCTCCCACTGTGGCTCCACCATGTCCAGTACTGTTGCCTGGGTGGGTGTTGGAGAAAATACATCGTATTGATTATGAATCAGTAAACTACCTCGACCTGCAGGTTGTCGCCCACTGCCAGCAGAAGTAGTGTCTCCTCCACCTGTTCCTCCCACTGTGGCTCCACCATGTCCAGTATCAGGTATTCTGTCTGAGTGGACATATAAAATAAATATCAAGGCCTATACATATGAAGTGGTTAGATAATTGGATTAACTCATATTTCATAGTCGTATTGATTATGAATCAGTAAACTACCTCGACCTGCAGGTTGTATCCCACTGCCAGCAGATGTAGTGTCTCCTCCACCTGTTCCCACCTCTGAAGCACAAATTATAACATTTAAAGGACGAGAGAACCAAGTCCTTTTAAGCAGTTTTAAATACACACAGAGCTTTATCTTTGACTTGTTTATTTTTTTTTATATTTGGTAAGATGTCTCCCTGTTTGTAGAACTTGTTGGGGAAATGAACTTTGCCCCATAATTTGTTCATCCAATGGTAGTAGTAAAACAGTTTTCCACTGATTTTTGGGGACTGTATTTCTGATGAAAGGTAAATAACTTCAGTTGAATGGACACTACAAATACTTATCATTAAAGTGTATTCTTCACCAACGTAATTCATGGAACATTATGTGGTCAATTTCTCTCAGAAAGTGTTAAGTAGATCCGTCATTCCTAGTTTAAGTGTGAATTTTGACGCTAGCAGACTTTATAAAGTTTAGCTAGCTACCATGACCTAATGCTAAAAGCCAAGGTGGTTTGAAAACTCTAAATAGCCTTTAAAAGGTCTTAAATATTGACCTAATGGGTAATGATATAACGCTTAAAGATGGAGGAGGCTACAGCTGCATGTTCCTAATGGTCCAGCAGATATGTGAAATAATTGTGCTTTTGATGATAAAAGCATGAAATTTGGCACACTGTGAGAGCATGCCCTAAGGAAGATTTGTGGCTATAGGGCCATCGCAAATTTGTCCAAATTAACAACCAATGGCGGCCATTTTCAAAATGGCCGCCATTGGTTGTTATTTTACCAGTAGTTTAGGATCTAGACCACCTAGGATCTTGATTCTGGTAGCTAATCCTACATTTTCAAGGATGGAGAATGCATTGGTACTATTTACAACATGCTAGAATGTAGCTAACTATATGTATCTGGTATTCAGGGAACAGAATACACAGTAAACCATTAACATATTTATTATGGTGAAGTCATACATGTTACATAATATATATGAAATATTACAGGTTTTCAACTAAATGGATGAACTCATATTTCATAGTCGTATTGATTATGAATCAGTAAACTACCTCGACCTGCAGGTTGTATCCCACTGCCAGCAGAAGTAGTGTCTCCTCCACCTGTTCCTCCCACTGTGGCTCCACCATGTCCAGTATCAGGTATTCTGTCTGAGTGGACATATAAAATAAATATCAAGGCCTATACATATGAAGTGGTTAGATAATTGGATTAACTCATATTTCATAGTCGTATTGATTATGAATCAGTAAACTACCTCCACCTGCAGGTTGTATCCCACTGCCAGCAGATGTAGTGTCTCCTCCACCTGTTCCCACCTCTGAAGCACAACATATTACATTTAAAGGACGAGAGAACCAAGTCCTTTTAAGCAGGTTTAAATACACACAGAGCTTTATCTTTTACTATTTTTTTTAGCGCACCCATGACTCGTGCATGCATGCACACGCACGGTTGTGGCATGACGACCAAAAGCGAAAGATATGGACACAAGAAGTGTGCAATTGTATCTAGTATCTTATCCATCTGAACATGATTTAAGTGGGGGAACATCCTCTAGGGAGGGTCAACACCCATATGAAACAGAACTGTAAACAGATTTTCTTTTTCTTCATGGATATTTTACAAATCACTCCCCTTTTAAACTGTACTCTTGTTTTATCGTCATATAGTATTTCATACCTGTTTTTCATTTATTCTGTTATTTTTGCATAACTATAATGATCATATAAAGGTGTGCATTTACATCACTGAGCTGAGCCGGCGTTCCGGTGCGCTCCGGCAGCACTACTCGCTACTGTATAGTTAGTTTAATAGGTTTATTTTTCCGCTACTTCCCTACCCCCACCCCCTTAACCTGTCTGCCTTTTTCCCCCTACCCCCCCCCCCCCTACCCGACTTGTAAAGCGATCTTGGGTTTCCTGAAAGGCGCTATAAAAATATTATATATTATTATTATTATTACACCCAGTTCCTACAGACTGTATCCTAACCCGCATGGAAATAAAAGAGCAGTATTCTTTCTGTACTGTACTAGTTTGCCCTAGTAAAGCACATTATCCTAACAACAATTATAAAATAGTTTTTTAGTCATTTGAATATTTCTTAATCCACTCATACTATTCAACGTTTTTTTGCAAGACTTTTGAAGTATAGGCCTAAAAGTATTATATTTTATCTTCAGTATTAGTCTCGTCCTTTTATGCATTTTTTATTTGAATCTGTCCGGTTTTAATAACCATTCTGTTGTCTTACATTTGATATATGTCAAATGATAGCTTAGTTGCAGGGTAGCTTTTGTCATATATGGTACATTTGAGGGCAATTGTAATGCTGTGTTACACGGACCCTGACTTGCTTAATACGATTTGTCTCTTCTTCTAACAATTTAAGTGTTTTGTGTTAAATAACATTTCTACATAAAGTGTATTTTTAATCTATTTATATAGTAGTTTCATAGTCTAATAGAGCCATTTTCTAATGCTTTTCACTATTTGAAATGGCCATGCATCAAGTTTATTTTATTATTATTTCTAATTATTGTTGAATCAGTAGTTGACTTCACCTTAAATTCTGCAATATTTGCTTAATTTAGACCATGGGAGCCATTTAATTTTGGACAAGGGCCATTTGTAACATCTGATAATTCACCAATCCATAATGACACAGAAATAATAAAAAGTATTCTTATTGGCGCATTTCTCAGTAAATTGCCAACTTACTGCACGTTGGGCCTTCAGTCCAGTTTCCTAAGATGCAAAAGATTGTTTTGGTGTCTGCTCCCTCTGCAGTATATCCATCTTCACACTTATACTGCAGTTTTGAGCTTGCAGCAAACACCTCCTGGTATCCCTTACCAATGATGACTGCATGTTTTTTTTTAGGGGGATCACCACATGATTCGGTACTCCCTGAAAATGAGGTTATTGTGTAAAGTGGATTTAAGATTTAGATACTGATTTGATTCTGGTAACTGACATTTAAAAAAATGAATAAGACTGACTTACTTTCACAGATTGGCACAGAGACCCATGCTCCGTCACTACACTGCGCTGTTGCGTCATGGTCTTTGTGTTCATATCCTTCGTCACATTTTACCCTGATTTTGTCTCTGTCCCCATACCAACCATCTGTGCTTGCATCGTAGTTTCCATTTGGGATAGTCAGTGACACACAGGCTTTTTCATCTGAGTTGGAAAATAAATGAATACAATTTGAAATAAAGTGCAGAACACGACAGCTCCTATGCATTGTCCTTTGGACGTTAGGGCCCCCAAAGACTTTTTCAAGAACAAAAAAGTATACCTTCTCACCGTCTTTTCATTTTTAAAATGTCATTATTTGCATGAAAAATATCTCTACGGTTTTAATAAAGCAAACATTTTTGTAACATTTAACCAGAACTCATATATTTATTTCATTGTTGGATATTAAGTAAGTTAGGCCAAAATCAACTAGCATCATTCAGAAATGTAACAAAAAGGAATCTTTGCCTACTCTTGAAATGTTATGGTAAAATCTGTGTGTGCCGCCGGGTTGTGTTGGTGTTTGTATAATTCACATCTGTTTGTTGGTGACATTGGTGAGAATGGATGGAAAAATGCTGGTTACAAAACATGTAATAATAATTAAAAAGTCTCTACAGTGTCATAAAAAAGCAGGACTATCCTTTCAATCAAAATAAGAAATTAAATGAAAATAAAACTATAAAGCAAAGTATTACACATTAACCCTGAAAAACACAACATAGAGTGGGTTATTTAAACAAACCAACAGAGAAATTATTAAAAACGTACCTATACATTGGGGATCAGGAGACCATTTGCCATTTTGACATTTGCTTGTCGCCCACCAGCCCTCCACTGCTGGTTTAAGTCCGTTATCACAGGCGTAAGTGAGCGTCGCTTCATGAAGGTACGTTTTTTGTTCAGGGACAACATAACCTTGACTCAGACTGGAAGCAGTACAGTTCTGGGTTTCATTGTGTGCTGAAACAAGTAAGAGAGCACTATAATAAAACACCATCCATCCATCTTCTCCCGCTTATCTGTGGTCGGGTCGCGGGGGTAGCAGTTCCAGCAGAGAGCCCCAAACTTTCTTTTCCCTGGCGACATCAACCAGCTCTGACTGGGGGATAATAAAACACTTGAACTAAAAATGATGGGTGACAGAATGTAATGTTCTTACCATGCAGCACTCCTGGGAACCAAAGCAGAAGAACAAATCCTAGATATCCCACAGACATTTTTTCAGGAATTAAAATACTGCAGGACAAAGCAGAGTGAAGTACACTCCGATCAGGATTGTACAATCAGATCAGGTTAATTATTGTCGGGGTCAACCCCAAAAAGTTAGGCAATGTGTGTCTTTGACTCTGACGTCACGCTGTTGCTCTGAGCCCAACACACCGATGTGAACTGCAGCAAATATCACAAAAACATATTGCGTATTAATCAGAGATACATCTGGGGTAACTGTACTTCTAAAAAGACTAAATTGGTCCTATTTTATGTCTCATTTTATGACTTATTCAAAATGATGGGGATGTTTCTAAATGAGTGATAGTAAGCTGGAGTTATGCAGAGGTAGAATAGGTATTCAGATCCTCTGCTTGAATAAAAGTACATGATGTATACCACTTTGAAATAAAAAAATTCCTGCATTGAAAATGTAAATCAGGTAAATGTATAATCAGTAACATGCTGTTAAAGTGTTAAATGGAAAAGTACTTAATGCAGAAACATTTGTATACCCCAAAACTACAAATTATTCAAAAACAAATATGTATAGATGCAAATACATTTTCTCTCAATCGGCTAGTTGATTTATGGACTTCAATCTGTTCTTGTACAAAGGTTTTGCTTGTTTAATTTATAACAAAATATCACATTTTATAAACTTAGAAAAAATCTATTTAGTAAAGTAACTGCATCTAAAGCAGTTAAAGAGGCCCTATTATGCTTTTTGGGCTTTCCCCTCTCCTGAAGTGTGCTCTATCAGTTGTTGTGCATGTACATGGTCTGCAAAGGCTAAAATCCCTGTGTCTGGAGCTATGATACAAACAGAAAGTCATATCAGTAAGTAGGTTTGGTATTATGAGTTCTTCTTAATCGTAAGAATAAAGTGCTTTCTCATAATCAGATGTTCACTACATGATATAGCAGTATGTATATAAATTCAGTCAAATTCGTTTTTTCCTTTGTTTATTGTGCTACATTTCTTTTAAGAGTGACACTCAGCTGTTTGTATTGAATTCATGGAAGGGAGAATGGAAAATAAACTAAAATGATTGAATAGGCACAGTTATACTCAAACTATATTATCCAATGTGGGTTTTAAACAATACTTTAAATATCATGGTTATCTTCAACACCAGTAAGTTGAAACACCCTAAAAGAACGTTATAATAGTCATAATGATTTCTGGTATTATCTCCTTATTTTTGAAATAATTAACAGTACCTTAATCTGATTACAAAGTCATGAAAGATAATGAAACATAATGAAATATGAAAGCTTTAACTCAAATTTTGTGTATTTTGAGTTTGTGATGGTACCTCAAACTGACATCGCGTATCCCCCCCCCCCCTTCATTTCTTTAGAGTCAACATTTCAAAATGATTTCCCGGACTGCTGTGATCGGAGGTCAGCATTATGCAACACCAAACACAGGGAGGTCAAAGCTCACACTCAGGGTCGGCTCTAGAACAAATCAAATGGGGGGGCAATCATTTACCAAGGGGGGGCACATACTGCCGTCAACAACCAACACACAAACACCAACGCAACTTCAATTAAAAAAAACATGCTGTAAAGTGTATTGTTTTTCACACACATTGCAGGGTGTAGTGCTATTTTATAGCGCACCTATGACCTGTGCATACATGCACGGTTGTGGCACGACCACCAAAACAGAAACATATGGACATAGGCCACCATATGAAAAGTGTTTAGTATTTAGTATCCTATCCATGTGAACATGTTTTAGGTGGGGAGTGGACCTAACCTCCTCTAGGAGGGTCCGGGGGCATGCTCCCCCGGGAAGATTATTTTTAAAATATTGAAGTTAAATGCATCAATCTGGTGCACTTTGAGAGCAACATGAAGATCTATGGATACATCTCTCAACATCCATATGAAACAGAACTGTACACAGATTTACTTTTTCTTTATGGATATTTTATTAATCACTCCCCTTTCAACTGTATTCTTGTGTTACTGTCCTATAGTATTTCATACCCGTTTTTCATTTATTCTCTTATTCTTTAATGACTATAATGATCATATAAAGGTAGCCTATTCCTCGCAAATACTTGTTTACATAAATGGTCACCAAACCGTTTGAGACCCACTGAGATAACTTACACTAAAGTGAACTATCTAAACACTGAGAGTCCTTACCTCACTGAGCTGACGTTATAAGATCCTCTCAGTCTGACAGGAGAGGACTCTCCTCCACCTTGGTGTAGAAACAGCTCTTTATATCCGTTAGCATAGCTAGCTAACCAGATGCTAACAACAATATTCCACGTTACCGCTCGCGCACTGACAAAATGCGCTCGTGCCACACACAGAGAGCCGAGCTTGAATGAAACACAGAGACCCATGTACTTGTACTCAGGGCCGTATCCAGGATTTCCTAAATACCGAGGTCCAAACATGCTAGGGGGGTTCGGGGGATACCCCCCGAGATTTTGGGGATTTTCATGATCTAGTTAGGTGCTTTTGAAGTCCTATGGGGGGTCACACATTGGATAATATATTGATTTCAAACCATGTCAGTGGGCTGACAATGTCAGCATCAATTATTTTTGAAAGTGTAATACATAAGAATCAGTTGATTGTTACTATTAATGATCTGGACATGCAGAAGAGCTAAAATGATCACAAAACATTGTCAACATTCATTTTCCATGTCTCTCTCCTTTCCATGACCTGCAGCCTCTCTTCCATCTCCTTTACTCTCTCTGTCCTCTACTCTCTCTCTTTGTTCAACCTCTCCCTCGTTGTTCACTTTTTGCTCCTCCTCACTTGTCGCTCCAGTGAATTACATTACTTTACATTGCATTTAGCTGACGCTTTTATCCAAAGCGACTTACAATAAGTGCGTTCGTCCAACAAAATACAACTTGAAGAAAACAGAATCATATAAGTACATCAGGTTTCATAGAGCAAAAACATTTCAAGTGCTACTCAACTGGCTTTAGAAAAGCCAGTCCTTTATTAGAATTAAAAGCAATTCAGCAATTTAGTTCATTTCACTCGTTTGTTTGCATTCTTTTTTTTAATTTAAATCTGTTTTGTTTGATTCTCAAAAGAGAACAAAGATTTAAGCAAATTGTGTTTTATACAATTGTATGTTATTATGACATCATAACTGCAATAGATGTATGTTTTAAAATGATGCCTATTGTAAATGAAGACTATTGTTATAGATAGATAGATAGATAAATAGATAGATAAATAAATAGATGGGCTTATTAAGCCTACATTATTTTGTGTGACTCCAGTTACTCCCTGACTTCCATCACTTTCTCTCCCTCTCCCTCTCTCTCTCTCTGCCTGTCCTGTCTCTCTCTTGCCAAAGCTGAGCTTCGACTGACGTAGACATTATATCTGAGTCAGTGTGAAAAGAAAATACAATGTTATATCTTCAATGTTTTACTCAAATTGAAATGAAAGAAAAGCATTACAACGTTTGTTAAAAGGTAATCCTTCTGACATTGGATGAATGTAATTAACTGTAGCTCTCTAGCTAGTTTATTCACGCAATTTAAACCAAAGTATAGCCTATAGCTGCAATATAAGTTAGTGTGCATGTTGTCGGACGTCCACTGACTAACGTAGAGCGTTCACACAGGATCTGCGGGTCATATGATGTCCTGATGAACAGAAACACAAGCAGCCCGCTGGACTCAGATCTCTAGATACCTCATCACTCCTCTGCTGCTCCGGTTCAAGTCCGGTCTGCGGTGGTTTGTTGATACATGTTGTCTTCTTCTGTTTGCTTTAATCGAGGCTACGTAGTTATGCAGCGCCCCCATGGTCAGTAAATGGAAGTACTACAAAGAACCCCGTTTAGTGCAATTATTTCACAAGTTTTGTTACACAGCTCGGAAAATATTACCGAGGTCCGGACCTCGGTGACCTCAATGGTAGATACGGCCAGTGGCGACTGGTCATTAGGGGCAGGTGGGGCACAGCCCCACCTAGTGTCAGCAGAAAGTATTAAAAGTAATGATTACAAAAAAATGCAAAAAATAAATTAAAAAATATATAAAATATATTTTAAGATCATGTTTAATCATCTGATTCGTCTGTACATTGCTGTTTTAGTCTGTGTTCTTCTAATTAGTGTCTACAGTGTGTGCCTATTGAGCTGTTTAGAGCCATGTGGGACAAAACCCGATCCTGCCCCTCCCTCTCCCTGTTTAAGTCAATGGTGACTGTAAAAACTACACTGCGCATGCTCAGAGTATTGTCCTATTTAATGTGTGTGGCAAACAAATAATGACCATAGGGGCATAGAGCTGCCATCCCCACCATACGTCATCTCACATCATTCAGAGCTGATTGGCTGTAAGTACGTGTGCCGCGAAAAGTGTGGTGTGTGAAGAGGAGGAGAGAGAGCTGCAGTGAGGCGTCCTACAACCCGGAAATAAACTGCGCATGGCTTCCCTCCACAAAAAAGCAATGATATTTCTCCATAGGATTTTAGAAAATAGCTCCAAATAAGATCTGTGGGAAACAAACCTGTTAGATAAATGCACGTTTTGTTCAGCCGGATAATATCCACATGTCTACCCTACTTTTATAATTTTTGAATCATAAATCTATTGATTAGATCAGATTTATGATAGACTTTTGAAACTACAAGAACATAAGGAGGACTTTTACAAAAAAGTAATAGAGATTTTTGTCCAGAAGGATAGGCAAATGGACTTCATCTTCATGTCAAGGTAAGACTGCAATTTTACCACCGCCATGAA